GTTGAAGTTATGGCGAACAACAAGAGCTTCTGCATGGTCGACGAAAACTTTTTTGGTCTCATATTTGTTGAATATTTTTAACTTATCTTCTACTTCTTCCATGGTTATTCCATAACTTTTTCTTCTACTAAGGAGATAATTCTTCGATTTGGAAAATCCAAAGCAATATGCCTAAATTCTTAGTATTTGAAGCACTTTTTATTGACATTAGAAGCACAAGTAGAAGTACTTTCTTTATCATTTTTGTTTGCAACTTTGAAAAGGTTTACCTTTTGAGGTAAAATGATTATTGAACTTTGTCTCTTACAATTTGACATAGAATTCTTTTGTCTAGATAAACTCACTGAGTTTTCCCATGATTGTTGTTTTTTAACCTTTAATGCTAATATGGTGACACCATTTATATTTCAATATAGTTGTAGTTGAACAACATCTACAATTTCAACATTAAAACCTCCAAGATAATGAGCTACAATTTACTCTTCAAGTTCATAAGCATTGCACTTCATGTGAAGTTCTTCAAACTCGAATTTATATTCTTCCACTGACATTGTTTTTTACCTCAAGTTATGAAATTTAATAAAAATTTCTTATCAATAGTGCTTAAGAAAGAACTTACGTTTGAGTTCTCGATGCATCTTATCCCATGTTCTAATCTTATTACAACATTTTCTTTCTCATTGCAATTTGAATTTTTTCCACTAAATAAAGACGTGTTTTTTTTTAATTTAAATGCAACAAACTTCATACGTTTTTCATCAGGAACATCTTTGAGCTCGAAAACTCTTTCCACTGTGTAGAACCATTCAAGAAAATCACTAGGGTTAAGCCTTATTTCAAACTTAGGAATGTTTACCTTGATCCCTAAATCTTTATTAGCAATAGTTCTTAGACGACGTATAAATACTTTCTTATCAAAAGACGATTCTTGATAGAAAATATTAGTATTATCCTCTCATCGCTAGAGCTACTATTGTTGATTTAAGTAGTATAATGTCTTACAAGTTGCTTTTGTAATTCTTGAACCTAGCGACGTAATTCCTCAATCTCGATCTTATGAACATTTCTTTGACGATTTTGGTATTTTGGTGGTATTTTATTATATAGTGATGATAATGTGGTGATGCAAAAAAAAAATGATGACAGAACTATATAACAATAAAAGAGACAAAATTACCTGAACAAGAAGAGTCAAAACTCAACAACGACAAGAACTCAAACTATGCAGCAAAAAATGATCCTTCCACTCTAATACCAAACTAATTCAGGGATGTTATGAAAACACCAATTGTGCTTAAGTTAAAAACCCCATTAAGGTGAACACCAATCTTGGCAAGGTTAAGAAACTCCACTAAGGTGAATAATGGCCAAAACCCTATTTTGGTTAGTCAAACCAAAGATACTAAAATTTCTTACACTTTTGAAAGAACCAATAAAAAATAAGCACTCTTGCTTATTAAAGAAAATATTCTCTATTTAATCTCAACTTGAATGTGCTTAAGAATTAACCCAAAAGAGCTTTATATAACTATTCTTAAAGAAGAGAACCTTCTTACTTTTTCTATATAGGATTATTATAATTCTTAAATAAAATAAATAAGTAAATAATGTAACTTGAACTTCCTTGGAGTACAAGTATAGTAAAAGACAATTAAGAAAAAAATAGTTATAGAAATAACCTTTCCTAACTTAATGCACAAACTGCCTAAATGATATCTTCCTGTATCAATAACATTATGAAAATATCCCTTCATTACATGAAATGTCAAATGAGAAAAAAAAATTGTATGGGTAAACAACATATTTATGGTAAATATTGAATGATAATATATATTTCATGATGGCATAAGTCATGATAAAATTATATGCCATGTTTTCAACATTGTACAACAATTTTGCTTCCATATCCCATTCTCCACTACTGCAAGACTATGTGCTAGTCTATCCATGCATAACGAAAAAATATAAAGTGACAATGGGTCACTCTGTTGCACACCTCTAGATAGAGAAAAGCTATTTGAGAGAATCCCATTCCATAGAATTCGAGAACTACAGTACATATAATTATGCCAATCAGAGGTTTGGGAATGTGTGCTTTTCTCAAGGTATCATGTATAAACTCCCAACAAAAATGGTCATAAGCCTTCTTGAGATCAGTCTTTACTATCATCTAACCTAAGTTCTTACTTCTTTCAGAATGAATGAACCACCTCCTCGACAATAATTATATTATCAGTAATGTGTCTTCCAAGGATGAAGCTAGACTTTGTATCCATAGACTTTTAATTTTATGGGAATCTTGCCCCATCCATGTTTCCCTTTGCTTGCTCCATTTCTATTTTAATGCTAAGTGTCAAAAATGTTAAAATCTCCCCTAACGACAAACCATAGAGTTTCTTCTTTCTCCGTTAAGTACATGGCAGTTTTTTTTCTTGATTTTCTTATTTTTAACTTGTTATGCCATTGATTTATTGGGTTATTTATTTTGCTACAATTTCAAGTGGATTTTTCAAGCTGCAATTAGAAATATATTGTTTTTGTTTATGGTCTTTCGAGGTTTTTACTCAAAATTTCTATTATTTTCAAATCAATAATTGATGATAAAATGACATGCTATATATTATAATTGAAGATGACGTGACATATTAATGTAGTATGATAATATGAACATGTGACATTTTTTACTTTTCACAGTAATATCATATTAGTGTCATGTGGATATAATATGATAATTGACATTTTAACTAATGGTAATTAATCAATTATTAGTTATAAGAGTTTATTTGACTCAAAATGAATTTAATTAACAAAATAAAAAATGACTTGTTTGAATTTTTTTAATAATTTAAAGACTTTTTTTAATATTATTTCAAAATTTTAAATGAAATCATCAAACCAATCATTTGATGCTAGGGAGACATCTGCCTTAGTGGTAATAGGGAATGCCTTGATTTTTAGTCTAAGTCCCACCTCTTACGCATCTTATAGCAAATTTATGCATTTTTTCCCAATTATAGTTTGATTGTTTAAACAAGTTTTGCCGGCAATGCTACGATATCACTATGAGTTTGTATGATTTGTTTGTATTTATACCTTTTACTTGTAAATTGCATGTATATGTACTTCCACAAAAAGCCAAATAGTCGGTGTTTATGTCAATTAATTATTTTTCCTTTTTTTTAAAAAAAAATCAATGCCTGAGTTGGAATTAAATGGCCTAAGAGCGAAAGGATCGACCAAGGATATCACTGCATCGGTTCAAGTTCACAAGTTGGCTAACTTAATAACTAGCGATCAAGTTTTCATTCTTCACGAGCCATTTGATGACGACAGCCATCGGTTTGAGACACATCAGCTGCTATCTTTTTCATTTACATTGATTTATACTCTTTTCGATCCTTTTTTTTTTTAAAAAAATTATGGAAATTAAAATTTTGAATTTAATGTATTTTATATTAAAAGTTGAAAACATTTTTATTATAAAATTTAGAAAATAAATTTATAATATAAAAAATAAAAAAAAATAAATATCTAAAAAAGTAAATATATATATATATATATATAATTTGAGACCCGTTAAAGAAGATGAACAAAACAAAAACGAAAAGAGCATTTCTTATCAATATTTAAGGAGAGTATAAAAAAAAATACAAATTACAATAATCATTACATTCGATCCAAAAAATTATTCAACAAATCAATAAATTAACATATAATTAATTAAATAAAATATGATGAAATTGATATCGAGAGCGATATGAAATTGAAAGCTTAAGATGAATATTTTTACTCAAATTAATTATATTTAGGAAAGATTTGCAAAATTTGGTCATGTGTAACATGCTTAGAATGGTAGGGACGCTGATTGATGATAACAACAGTTGTCGTCCTTCGGTTCTCCTCATTCAAAGAGTTTTCATGGTTGACAGCTTGGAATGGTTCGCGGTTTTGTCGACCGCAGGCCCACAATCCCACCTATCCATGTATCTGTCTATCTATTTCTCTACCTGCGATTAATCAGAGCCTTAGATTTTAATATTTGGTTGCCGAAATTCATTGCAACACTTTCAGGCATATGGAAAACATTGTTTGCAATTTAATTGAGACATGGCTATGTGGACCACCCAATGCTTTATTTCAAGCACAATTTTGAGGTCCATTGGATAGCTCTACGTCCACCTTTCAAATCTCAACCACTCCTGCCGTAGATTTTTACCAAGAATTTGCTCATGCCACAAATAAGACTTAATATATATATATATATATATATCCTTTTCCCCTGGTCATAATCACTAAAGTAAAAGAAAATTATCACAATGACCATTCCTACCACGTTCGTTGATATTGTGTTATTTGTCAAGCTAACGTGTGTGCTTAAATGTGTTCACATGATGTGTTTTATCTTATGTTTAAGATAAAAGGGTTCCTAGTTTGAATGAGTCAAGAAAAAGGCTAAGCTAATAAGTTAATGATTAATATGGAGAGTTGATCCATTGGAATCAAATCTAAATAAAAGTTAATCGAATAAAAATTAATCTTTACACTATTAAAATTCCTCAAAAAACTATTTAAAAATTTCAAAATCCAACCTAATTGAGTAAGAGACAAGATTAAGGGATTGAATGCGGCCATAACCGTGTTAAAGACTTTGAAGCATTTTATGGAAACACCAACTTTTGTCGAGCAATTGACAAGAAAAATAAAGTTCAAGATTTCAATAGGTTAGTTGATTAAAGAAAATCCTTAAGTGATTAATCTGTGTGTTAGACTGTTTTATAAATTTAATAAATTTATACTATATCTTAATATTTTTATTAGTCAGCCTATTTTTTTTAAAATATGGGGTAGGCCGAGCTTAAAAATTCAAGTCCATATTAAAATCAAGCCTAAATGGGCTAGTCTGTTTAATTAGGGTGCTGACCCGGGTTGATGCGGGCCAGCCCGATGGGCCAAAAATTTTTTTTATTTTTAAAGAAAATGGGCACCAACCCGCTGCCCGACTCCCAACTCCCAAGTCCCACTCCTCTTCTGTTCTTTGACTCTTTCTAGCCTTCTTCCGTTCTTCGTTCTTTCACGGTGAGTCGGTGATGGATTGACATTCTTTCTCATTCCCCATCCAGCATCTAGCGATCCCGATCAGCACTCCAACATAGCAGCACTCCCCATCGTCGCCATCGCCCATCGACATCATAGATCGATCCGTCGCACCCGTAGGTCCCTCACCTTCTTCGTTCTGTTTTGCTGCAGATCGCATTGTCTCATCTGCAGGGCCTGCACCTTTTTCGTTCTGTTTTGCCGCAGATCACACCACCGCAGGTCCTGCACCTTCTCCGTTTTGTTTTGTCACAGATGTATTGTCCTGATCTTTCTATTATGGCACGAGATGTATTGAGCATTTCGATTACTACAGTAGCATCAGAGTCTACTTTTAGTATCAGTGGTCATGTTTTCACCAAGTTTAGAAGTTTCCTCTGTCATAAAAATATTCAAATGCTTGTCTACACGAAAAATTAGTTGCATGGCTTTTCTTTAGCTACCGATGATATTGTTTATTTTATATATTTTAATATCTTTAATCTTTTCTTGTTAAATTAATAATTTTAGTTAAAATTCAAACTCATTATGTCTTATTCTTTTATGACAATGAATATTAGATAATAATGATGAAGATTTGGAGACATCATTCCTGTCCAAAGAAGACTCAAATGTTTTGATTGAGGATGAAGATTGAGAAAAACATTAATTAGTCTTGAAGTTTATGAATATTTGATTATGTATTTATGTAGTTATGTTGATGGGATTGTAGTTTGTGTAATTGTGTTAAAGATTAAAAATTTAAAATTTTATTTATATTTGATGTAATGTATTTACTTATTTATATTTAACGTAATTTATTTGTTTGTAATATATTTTTATTATTTAATTTATGAACTAAATCATAGTATAGTTGTATTGATGAGAAGTAAAAAAAATTTTTTTTTGAAAAAAATGGACTAACCCGGTCCAACCCATAGGTTAGCAAAAAGTGGGCTGAGTTGAGGATTTTGTAGCTTATATAAAATATGGATTGACTTGACCCGATCTATATTTTTTCAACTCACAAAAGTTTGGGTCGAGTTAAGCCGACTCGGCCCATTTTGATAGGTTACTAAACGCTCCCAAACAATTATTTTTTAAAAAGATTTAAGTATAAAAAGGATAAAAAAGGCTTCACATACAACAACCAGAACATCCAACAAAAGCGATTTGAGACAATTCAAGGAGATTCTCGTCTACCTTTTAAGTGCTTCACTCTTATCTGTTTCTTGTCCTGGTGTAGATTAATTAGATATCAGTTAACATTTGGTCATGTTGTAAGCTTGTGACATCGAATATCCAAAACACTCCGTTTGAGTGCCAAGCTTGGTTCGATTAAATTATTTATTAATAAATAGTATAGTTTTATTTTAATTTAATTTTAAAATACTAACATAAAATATTATTTTAATAATAAAATAATGATTAGATGATAGATTAAACCTTTTAGGGACTTGAGATTAGATTTTTTAGGAAAAGACATTTTATTAAAAAAAAGTGAAAAAAGAAACATTAATGAAAGTAGTGGGTCGTGCTAGATTGACCCTTAAATAATGCCCCGGCATGGACCAACCCAATGAGATACAAATCCTTGACCAACCTGACCATTATCTTTCGGCTGTAACTTGGCATGGCACATTTCTTTAGTAATTTGGGTTGCTAAGAGCGCCCTTGACTAGTTTTTAAGTTTTAGATAATTTTTTATTTTCTTATTTTATTCAATTCAACATTTTCCAAAATGAAAACAATCAAAATTCGTTAATTTTGTCATGTCTACATTTATTATTATTGTTACATGTTTAAATACGAAAATTCATATTAAGTTGACACTTATATGACATACCGTATTAGTGATTATAAAATTTTTATTTTGCCACGTAGATGTTAAGATAACACGACTAATAATTATGAAGATGTCTAAAAAAAAATCCATGAAGACATTGACATGATAAATTAAAAACATGATTATCTAATAAAAATTGTACTTTAAAAGTTCAATTGAATAAAATAAAAGACTAAAAATCTATTTAAAAGGTTAAGAAAGTATAAGAACATACTTAATATTTTTATTAAATAGAAAATATGGACAAAGAATATAATGGTAATGTGCTAAATTCATAATTTTAATTAATTAAATTTAAAATAAATAGAAAAGAGAAAGCAAGTTGACTTTTGATCATATGATAGGTAAAAGTTATTGTTATTATTATAGTCATTAAACCAACATACGTATCATGTATCAAAGATTCAAAATTTTATTTTGGATATCGAGTATTATACGGTATGACAAAATATGGTAAAAAAATTTTAAAATTAATGAAATTTTTTTAAAATTTTATTATATTTATTAATAAGATTGAAAATTATAGGACATAAATTAAAAAGATTATTGTTTTAATTTAAACTCTCACCATTCTATTTATATATTTTCATTAATTTATTCATTAAAAGATAAAAAACATTAAACATGTCAAAATAAAAAAGGCAAATCTTATTTTTTTTGAAGTATGAATTTGAAGGTTTTTTTTAATGTTTCAACCAAAAGAGAATAAATAAAAATGAATTTGTAATAATTAAGTAAAGATAAAAACTATAAAAAATTAAATCGAATGGTAGACAGTACATTTTTAATATTTAATTAATATAGTATATTAATTTGTATTGTTTTTATTTTTTAATATTGTAATCTACAGATGCCTCTAAGAGCCTAGTTGGCTTAATTTTTTCTAATTTAAAAGTTATTATGAAATTCTTATGAAAAATAATAGTTTAGAATTAAATTGAAATTATTTGGTAAATTTTTTTTATAAGTTCTTTTTTATAAATTATAATTTTAGTTAAAATTATCGTAAATGGTATTTTTTTTGAGAGAGTTATATTATAATTATTTTTAATATATGAGGATATTTTATAAACAAAAATAATTTTTTTTGTATTTTTAAAAAAGAGAAGAAAAAGTCCTTATAGAAGCTTTTCCTAAAGCTCTGTTTTTAAAAACTATATTTTTAAAAAAAAAAATTATTTTTTTAAATTTTTTTTTAAATTTATGTTTGATCTAATTTTTAGGTGATAGATAAATTGTAAAAAAGTTAGGCTAAACAAGTATTAAGTCCAATGTTAGAGGGCAGAAGCGTCGTCAACCCTTAATACGGCACCGTTTAATGAGAAAGCGTTGGCCTATGCGATGATTCGTCATGCAGATGACCGCAGGGAATCAAAGTTTCCGTTACTAGCCCTAGCTTCCCTCTTTCTCTTTGCTCGGCTACTGCTGCACTGGTTTTGCCTTTTTTGATTTCTCAACAATTTATCTTAAATTCGATTTGACTCTAATTCTTTCTTCAAGCTCTAATTTCCATTTTGTTCTTCGGTGAACATCAAATGGAGAGTGAGAGTCCAACAGAAACAAAGAAAGGCAAATCAAAAACTCCCAGGAAAGCTAAAGAAAGCATTCTCAAGCAAAGTATGTATAGATGGATGGATCTATGGATGTACGCATGGATGATGGCTGAGGTTATCTTATTTTATTCCTTTTGTGGTTTATGCAGAGTCCCCAGCTGAGTTCTTTGCAGAGAACAAAAACATTGCTGGCTTTGATAACGTAAGTTGCGTTTTTCTCTTTTCTTTCTTCTTCTTCTTCTTCTTCAATTTTTCTTTTTGGAATTTAGTTTTGCTTTATTTTGTTGTCATTTTATTGTACAAGGAACTGCAATTAGGGGGAAATTAGCTAGCAAAATTGAACTTAAGATACATTTTATTGTAGCTGAAAATTTCTAATTAATTTAAGATACATTTTGGTAATAATTTTGATAATTGGTAAATTCAGGTTGAATGTAAAAAAAAAAAATTCTTATATCATAAGCTTAAGTACTGATAAAAAGGAAGTTTCTTTTTCTGTTTTAGCGAGTTCTTTTAAAATTTTATTAATTTATGTGATTTATTTCTGCATGGATTTCAGCCCGGTAAATGTTTATACACCACTGTTAGGGAACTGGTTGAAAATGCACTAGATTCAGCGGAGTCAATATCTGAGCTTCCAATTGTAGAAATAGCAATGTAAGTTTCATGTCTGCAAAAAACGTTGTAAATTGTTTGTAGCTATCAATTAGCGCTGCAAAAATATTCTATATTTTTTTCTGCCTAAATCCTTATTGCTGTTGCAGAGAAGAGATCGTCAAAAGCAAGTTCAATTCCATGATTGGGCTTGTTGATAGGGAACGTGTTGATGAAGAATTATACGATGATTACGAGACAGCTAAGGCCCGCGAGGTATCTGTGCCTTCTAATGTGCATCCTCTATTGTTTTTAACTTCATTTATGAACTGTGTAGGTGGTACATCAGATTATAGTTACATTTTGGAGTCAGATATGTGATAAGTTTACTTTAGGTGTTAAAAATGGTTAGCTTTGCAACCTCGTTCCAGTTTTCATTTTTAGCGTGTTGCATCTTTCAACTGCATTTTATGCTAGCAAGTTTTTGTATTAAGGAATGCAAGAAGTGTTTTATCACCCATTTTGTCTGCTATCTCAAGCCTCATGCTCCAATTGTTTTCATTCATTCAGAAAAGATTAGCGAAGGAAGCTCGAGCTCAAGAAATTCAAGCAAAAAATGCTGCCCTTGGGAAGAAAGTCAAAGAATCTGCAGCTCCCAAGAGTGTCAAGGGTCGAGGCGAAGCTTCTTTTTACAGGGTTACATGCAAGGTATAATTACGATCCATCTCAACCTTCCTTACCATATTAGTTTTTTATTGTCTGAGTTCTTCAATTAAATTGATCTTATTGTAAATGAATTTCTAAAACTTTTCCTTAGGTCTAAGTCATTGACTGTTGACTCAAAATGCAGGACAACGGAAGAGGAATGCCACATGATGACATCCCAAACATGTTTGGACGAGGTCAAGTTACTTGTGACATTAAGTTCCTTTTTGATGCAAATTTGACTGCACATTAGCACTTTTGTTATTCCAGATGATTTGTTGTGCTCCCATTTTAACCTCTAATGCAGCGTGCTTATTTGTGCAGTTCTGTCTGGCACAAAATATGGCTTGAAGCAGACACGTGGAAAGTTTGGTCTTGGTGCAAAAATGGTAGTGCTTCTGACATGTGTGCCTCGTCTCTAACTGCAGTATTTCATTTGACATGTATACACATGTATTATAATTGCTTTATTTTTATGCTGGGATATATTTTAGGTTGCATATGTCGAGTTGTGATTTACGTGGCATCTGAGGTGTCAGTGTATTACTTTGAATGCTCCCTTCATACAATATGGTTTGCCTTTGGGATTTCATTGGATCTGCCATAGGAGATCATGATTGAAGCAATTCAATTTAAATTTCCCTGCATATGGTATTGAACAAAGCTGTTAAGAGACTAGTTATTGAATCTGGCTTTACTATTGTGTTGTGGAACATATTGAATTTGTTTAAGTTGTATTCGTGCAGGCCTTAATTTGGTCCAAAATGAGTACAGGCCTGCCAATCGAGATCTCATCATCAATGAGGGGTCAAAATTATATTTCCTTCTGTAGGCTGGATATAGATATTCATAGGTATGGTGTGAATGCAAGGCAAACAGATTTTTAGTTATCTCATAAATCGCACTTTTTTCTGGTCAACATAAACCCCAAATATTCATTTTATTTCATCTTTGCATTTTGCACTCTGTGGGATATTTTTGTTCATTCAGATCTATGCATGTTGAATTCTTTTCTTTGTATCTGTTTGGAGGCTTATACTATATTTTAAAAAACTATGATGACACTTAGATGATTAGGAGTTATATTCTTGAGTTTGATGTATTGTTATACCATAATGGTGTTTATAATTTCAGGAACATTCCTCACATTCATTTACATGAAAAACGCGACAACAAGGATAGATGGCATGGGGCTGAAATTCAAGTGGTCATTGAGGGAAATTGGACAACTTACCGTGTATACATCATCTCCTTTCCTATTATTTTGTTGGACTCTCATAGCTGTTCAAGCTTTTTAGAGTTCCTTAATGCTTTATTTCTAGGTTGTCAAGGATGATTGAGAGTGACAGTTGGTACTCCTTAATAACAAAAATGTCATTGTTTTTGTATTTGCAGTCCAAGATATTGCATTACATGCGACAAATGGCTGTTATCACCCCTTATGCTCAATTTCTTTTTAAGTTTGTATCTGATGCCCCTGAGTAAGCTCTCTCTCTCTGTTGCTCAATGGTCCTTGACACACACACACACACACACACACAATCTTGCCGACCTTGTATTGAACTGGTTCTCTTTTCCTTTTTTCATACAGTAAAAATGTCACTATAAAGTTTGCACGGAGGACAGATGTAATGCCTCCAGTTCCTGTTGAGACGAAGCACCATCCTTCATCTGTTGACATACTACTAATCAAACGCCTTATTGCTGAAACTTCAAAACAGAACCTAATGCAGTTGCTTCAGCATGAATTTGTAAATATTGGAAAATCCCTTGCTGAACGACTAATTGGTAAGAAGCTTGTGAATATATCTTGGGAATTGTTTTCACTTATTCTCTTTTTATTCCTCCTGGAGTTTTCTCTGTTACCCTATTCCACCATTCTATTAAGGAAGTTATGGTGGAATTTCTTATCTCATCGTGTTGAGGCTAACTGCCCTTTCTTTAACCCTTTTTAAAAATTTTTTTTACTATTATAGAGCATTCAAAAGGATGCACTTTAGTATCTTATGAAAGAAATGTAAATTAGGCGATCTTCTATCATTTTGAGTTGCTTATATATCTCATTTGTGAAAATTTGAAAATTTTTAGAAGCTGTAGAGTGGAGAGACATTTATGCATTACACCAATTCCCTGGTTGTAGGCATATTTCTAACGGAACAGGAGATACTAGTGATTTTGCTATGTGAATTACTGTTCTATCAGGTGGTCAAGATTATATTGAAGCTTCTTTCTGTCATGGTCATGTTTGAAGCTGCAAACTTTTGCTATATTGAACTAAGATCAGTCAATTTAAATGTGCTTGGTGCTGAAATTGATTCAAGTTTTGGTAGTTTGGTGACATACGAAATATTATATGTTCCTGCCTTAGTTGATATAGGCTAGTCCTTAGATGCTTAACCTGATCTGTGTCGTGATTTTGCTCACATTTTAGGAGAAATGGGTCCAGAGTTTAGTCCAAAATTGGCTGTGAAGTCTCTAACTGATCAGCAAATAGTTCGCATCCACCAATTATTTCGTCAAGCTAAATTTGATGACCCCAGTGGTGATGTAAGCAGCTTTTCTTAAATAGTTTATTATTCTGTCTGCTACACTCTAATGCAACTACCTTTCTATTTCATTTATTACTAAATCTCGCATTCTGTAGCATTTCCCCTGTTAACTTCAAAGCTTTTGACAGTGTCTAAGTCCTGCGGGTGAGTACAATCTTCGCTTAGGAATTATAAAGGAACTACATCCTGACATGGTCGCAACTTATTCAGGCAGGTTTGTCCTAGTGGGCTGATTTCTACGTGGATCAATTATACACCTTGCTCGGTTAATGTTGGATAAGCTTTTTTGGTAAATGTATGGAATTTTTGTTACAATATTATACAGTGCTCAAGTTTTTGAGGGGCACCCGTTCATTGTGGAAGCTGGTGTTAGTGTGGGTGGAAAAGATGTTAAACAGGTCAGTGGATTCTGCAGAAATAAGTTGATTAGTTATCTATCATTTTGAATTAGAGAGATAAAAAGACAGAAGGTTCCAGAGTGTGAATAAACAAGCAAGATGTGTTTTCATTCCCCCATTTTCTGGCAATATGTCATTTTTATCATCTCTCAAACCAATGTCAATGGGGATGGCAGGGTTGAGGTGTTACTTATACAAGTAAATTTTCTATCTTTACTGTAAAGTCTGGAATGCTTGACAATTAGATGGGTATTGTCAGGATAGCTTTTCCTTTTCATGTTGGTACTTCATTATCTACATGGTGTTTGTGCATTCTAAGCATTTAAAGACTCCAAAAATTCCAGGGTTTGAATATTTTCCGATTTGCAAATCGAATACCGCTTCTTTTTGAGCAAGGTGGTGATGTTGTCACAAGGACTGCGCTAAAGAGAATCAGGTAAGCTGTACTGCATGCAATTCCTTTGCTTTTGTGGGAAACAGGGATGCCAACTTTTATTGCAATAAAACTATCACAAGAAGCAATGCAAGATTGAAACAAGGCTTCTAACTCAACAATCATTTTCAGTTGGAGTAGTTACAAGATCAACCAAACACAAGATAAAATTGGTGTCTTTGTGAGTATTGTAAGCACAAAAATCCCCTTTAAAGGGACTGGGAAGGAGTACATTGGGGATGATATCAGCGAAATAGCTAGTGCTGTCAAGGTGTGGAAGTTCTCTGCTTTATTGCATCCAAATTTCCATAACAAATATAATGAGTAAACTAACAACATTATTTTTCAGTCTGCAATTAAGCAGTGCTGCATCCAGCTGAAGTCGAAAATAGTAAAGAAAATGCAGGCTCGTGAACAGCAAGAGAGAAAGCGAAATTTGAGCAAGTACATTTGAGTCACCTGTACTATCCAAATGGTATTTCTTGTTCATTTTGCTCAAAACTGATAACAAGTGCAACTATCAACTGGCAGGTATATTCCTGATGCTACAAATGCTATGTATGATGTTTTGAAAGAAATGGCAAAGTCGCATGCATCAAAAAAGAAACGTTTTGAGGAAAGGGATGCAGATATTCTTCGAAAGGTATCTGATCAGTTGATTACCAAAGAGACACTCAAGGAACAGCTCACTCAACATGTCGCAAAGGTGAGTTTTGAGTTGCATGCCGCTCAAGTACCTGAAACTTGTCCCAAAAAATGCCAAGTCCTTTATGTTCTTTCAACAAAATATTGATATTTAATATAGCATATCATCATGGGATTTATGCGTTCACCGCAATTGAATCCTGTGATCCAAAATGATCCCTTTTAACCTATCAAACCATAAGAAAAATCCATTCATGCCATCAGTAGAAGGAACTGTTTAATGAATGAAGCCTGGTTTATTGCTAAAGTGAGTATTTATATTTTTCTTTCGGTTATGGCAATGTTGTAATCTGTCCATTTTTCCATGGTGGTGATGTTTGCAGGTGGATTATGAGATGGCATTGGAGTATGCCACGCAAAGTGGAGTAAACGAGGAACCAAGAGAAGATATATATTTACCGTCACTTTATGCTAAAAGTAACTTCTTTGATTTCCATAGTCCCATATTTGTCTTCAGACTCTTCCAGTAGGACTATTTCATTTACTTATTACCCAATTATACCATTTTTATTTTCCAACCTGGCAACCTCAATATAGTAAGGAACACTAGTTATACCATTTTTACTGATCTGTAGCCTACAAAGAAAACTAGATATTTGAGTTGAACGTGAACGTACATTGTAGCCCTGAAATTGAGAGTTTTGATTTTTTTAGTTTAGTTTTTTGATAGAATAGTTATGCTGACATGGAGAATAGTGAAAATATCTTGGAACAAGTGATAAGATTTATAAGTTAATTTAACATTTAAAATATTTTAGAGAGCTTGATTTGATGATTCTGATATTGAGATAATTAAGAGGTTTTTTATTTTATTTTTTTTAACTTTCTCTTAAATTATAAATGTTTTACTTTTTTTTTTTTCTGAGTCTCTAGAAATATGCGACGCATTCTTAAGGTGTCATTGAGCTTTATTATATCGTTTAATTAAAACATTTGTCCAACACTAATATATGTAGTGGGTTAATGTATTATTTTCATAATAATGGACGTGATTTACCAACTATGAAAGTTATTTCGAAACGTGTTCTTCTCATGATGAGTTGGTAAGTACGTTTTAGCCAATTGCTCCTAAAGAATTGTTTTTACTTGGTATACATATAAAGCAAAGGACAAATTGAAAATTCAACGAACTCTCTCTTTAAATATTCTCTCTAAAAAGTTCTCTCTAAGCTTCTCTCAACTACTTATTTCTTCTTTACTCAACTCTTTCCATCTTATTCTTCTCCGTGCGTGCCGTTACACTTTTTGTACCTTTTCCCAAGTTTGTATTTCCTTACCTCTTATCACAAAGCACTTAACCCTTCAAGGATTTAGGGTTTAGGATATTGTTCCAATCTTCTTTTTAGTGGCTTCTAGTACATCTTACTTATTTGTTGCGACATTTTCCCTTTCCTTGTCAAAATAACATCTTGCATTTTAGTAACTCAATTAGGAAATAGTGATAATATTAAGTAAAAGAAATTAAAAAATTGCACTACTAAAAGATATGCAGAGTTCTCTCAACAATCAAGAAACACTTATTTTCACTTAGGTCAAAGAGCTAATGAAAATGCTCCACACTTCACAAGAGAGGATGCAAATATTGAAAGATAACAAGAAGCAGACAATGTAGACAATCTCCCAACTTATGTACCCTATTGCTACAACCTCTCAAGTACGACCCATGCAGCCCCATGGTAGCGAATATGGGACTAAGGAGTATTGATGGGGTTGGAGGAAATGGAGAGAGCAGACTGACTTGCTAACTAAAGTTTAAAAAAATCTAGAAACATCAAACAAGGAGACTAGCATGTGAAGAAAGAACAAAAAAGAAGAACTAAATTTTTGGATATGTTGTTAAGGTCCGAGATGGAGGAGGAAGCAGGAACAAGCAGGTGAAGAGAGAACGTAGCAGCAACAGGGACAGTAGCCAGAAGACTAGAAGAGAAAAGTAGAAAATCAAAAGATGCTTCTGATTTAACCTATGTATTTAGTTTGAATACCCTGTCGGTTCCAAATTGAACAAGTTGAATTGGTTGGTCTGATCCCATTCTTGAATCATTGTGTTGGTTCTTTTGCTTGAGAGGCTAGATGGACCACAGTCATACATATTCTTAACCAGCAAGAATTGTCCAACATTTATGCATTTCTTGATCACCCCATCAAATGCTAGGTTTTGATCCTTTCCCAATGTGGCAAATGGCAAGGCTCCATTTATTAATATGGCGATTTGCTCAATTCTTCCAAAACATCTTGATAAATCGAAATTTATTACATCTCTTTGTTTTCCTGAGTAACCACTTGAAACCTTGATGTAACGCATGAGAATTCCATTATAAAGTTTTAGGTCACATAAATCTTTAAGCTCCAATGCAACCAGCTTCTGCATGCTTTGAATGAAGCCTTTAACATTTGTCAAACTAACACTAAGTATAGTTTGTAAAAGAATGGCTGAAATAATAAAAAGAAACCCTAACTTATATGCATTTTTATAATTAAGCCCTTACAGTTTTTGTTGTAATCAATTGAGTCGTTATTTTTTTTATTTTACTCAATAGAGCTCGTAAAACCCCAAATTTTCACATACGTGTAAGGTAGCGAAATAACGATGACGTGGATCAGGTGCAATTTGGTTCTTTTACTTGGTGAGCTCATAACAACAATTTAGTTCAAATTTTGGAAATTGTTCTCTAGAAATATTAACTTTTTAAACTTACTGAATGTATTGAAAGATGGATGCATTTTAAAAGCAAAATAACGTTCTGTTCTGTGAGGAAGGCATCGATGCCTAATGCTCAAAAGATTTTTGAAAAGCATATTGAAAAACAAGTATTAATACCTTTTAAAACTCAAAACAAAAAAGTATCGATACTTGAACGCTAGGTATTGATGCCTATGTCTCAATTTACAAAACAAATAAAAATAAAATGATCATTTTAAAAGACTTTTAAAGCAGCCCTCAAGCTTGAAAGGTCTCAAGTCTTTTTCTCCACTTCCAAAAACCCTTTTGTTCCTCTCCAACGCCATTTTCTTCCTTTTTTTCCCATTCACTTCACTTCTACCTCCTTTCTCCCAATCTTGCTTTCATTCTTCTCCATTTACATGAATCAACAACCCAAAAATCCCATCTTCCCCTTGGAGGCTAAAACCTTAGGAGAGAGAATATCTTCTCTCTTATTCCATTCTTCACACTCTTTGAAAATCAAGGTTTCTAGTTTTCAATCTTCATTGTAAAGCTAGTCAAAGTAAGATTTCAGCTCACAAACTCCTTTTTCCTTTTCCTTTTTTTTTAATTTTGAAATTTTTTTCTAATTTTTCATATTTTTCTCTCTTTTAAAAATGTTAAGTTTTGTTGATTTCTCCACTGCCAAGCTCACCAAGGTAAGAGAACTTTATATTTGAGTTGTTAGTTGAATGGGTTCATGAATTAGACTAGATTTTTGGGTCAGATTTTAGGTTCGAATTTAATTTAGTTAGTGTATACTTATTAGGTTTATTAAGTCCAAATTTTAAAATTAAATTGTGGTTATTGTTGCTTAATGGTCGATGGTGTTAGCCATGTGTGGTGTAGGGAGAAAGCACATGACTAAGGGCCATAATGCCCTTAAATGATATTGTGTGCTACATCAGTGGCTATATGCATTGAACATTTATAGATAGCAAGCCTATCACTTTATTTTAAGTTGGAGTGCTTGCGGACCATGATGATGATTCTTCTTAAGTAGTTTCCACAAATGGTAAAAAATTCATAGTAAAAGTGTTATAGGCTTGTTTAGTTGCACGAAAGCATGAAAATCTAGGTTTTCAAGCATGATGTATTGATACTCATGAAGCAGGTATCGATACCCTAGAGAACAAAATGCATTCCAGAAGCATTTTGTCACAAAAGTACCGATACCTACCACATTTTTTGGAAAATTGGACTACAAGTATTGACATCTTTGTGGCAAAATGCCTTTTGTCTTTCAAGCATTGATACTTGTGAAAATTAAAGGTTTTTCAATCACATTTGATTACATATTTCAAATAAATGTTCTAAAGGACTTTAGAAACATCCAATTACATTCAAATGGCTTTTAAATGCTTTATGTTATTCATTATGCATGAACCTCAAAGTATTCTAAACTCTTCCTTTGGAAACATAAAATTGTTGTTATTTCAATTGTTGATAATGAAAGGATTCACATTCATTACACTTGTTTTAAATGGCATGTTCATATTGCATACTTACATCGTTTCAATTGAATAGATTTTAGAATAAAAATTCTTACATTTAGCTCGTCTCCCCTTCCCATATTCACTTACTGAATTTTATATTCACCCCTCCAAATTCATGTTGTATAGAGAGATCGGTTCTTCATCCTTGGAAAGGGTTTTAACTACACTTGGTAGGTTATTATGGCATTCGGTAGACGTCATTAGCTTTCCTCGATGATACGATTCATTTTCTCATCATTAGTATTCATTCTTTATTGTATTGCATTCATTTAAGATAATCATTTCTACAAGGGGATAAAAAATCCCAATGACACAATTTTCTCAAGAAAATTGTAGAGACAAATTTAAGAAAAATTTTCAATACAAAGATTTTCATCCTCTATTTAAAAAATCAAAAAATTACATTATTCATTCCATGATTGCATCATGTGCATCATTAACGCTAATCCAATTCATGAATGGAAAATTACAATGACAAGACTTTCTCGAGAGAATTTTATTGATGGGTTTTTAAAAAAATTCTCTAAGTGAGGAAAAATTCTTATATTCAAATAAAAGCATTGGGCAAATTTTCAAAAGATTTCCAACATAATGGATTTCATTTATGCATCAAAATTGATAAATATTGCAAAAAAATTATAATCATAAGAAATTAAAATAATAAAAATAAAAAAATTTGAATATATATATATATAATATTTAAAATCTAGACTTATTCTTGTAAAATGTTGAATAAGCTTGATGATGGAGTCTTTTCGAGGAAATAAACATGTTTTCTCAAATACTCTTAAGGTTAGGAGAATTTCTAAAGTCTCACCAAAGAGTTAAGAATGCTTAGGAAAAACCTCCAACATCTGATAAAGGATAGAAAAAAAAATGTAATACATAACAATTAAGGGAAATGAGAAACTTAAGTGATGGCTAGAGAGAAAAAGAACGGGTGACAGTGGCGGAATAGTCTTTTCTCTATCTATGTTGATAACATTAGTAAGAGGGAGTCGTGGTTTGGAATCGAAGGAGCTTTCGAAGAATATGATAGAGTTGTTGAAGTCTTTATTCCAAGAAGATTCATGTGGGATGTGAGAAAAGCTGTGAACTTCACCATCGTTAGATATTGAGGGAAACATGAGATGAAGAAAGCCATTAAATGGAGGAGTCATTAATGGATAGATGAGAGGTGTGTGATAGTGAGACAAGTGGAGTCGATGAACAAGGAGCAAAAAGGAGCAAAGACTTGAGGTAAGGATATGGAGTAGATTAGGAGCAACAACAAAGGTGTGGATGGAAAGACTTTTGAAAAGACAGTGCAGGGGATGTCTATGCATGGAAATAGGAGCACAGGTGAGGTTAAGAAGAATAGTGGAATGGAAAAACCAACAAGTATGGTCAAAAGGGAGCACCCGAGCATTTGGCTCATTGGTTGGTGCATAATCCCCCTACCTAAAGTGCAGGGTTCGAATCTCTCTTTCTACAATTATTAAAAAAAAAGTATGGTCAAAAAGGACATTGGGAGATAAATCATAGAATAAGGACCTAAAGGTTTGAAGAGCTCATG